TTTTAGTAGAGATGGGATTTCACCATGTTGACCAGGATGGTCTCGATCTCTTGACCTCGTGATCCACCCGCCTCGGCCTCCCAAAGTGCTGGGATTACAGGCTTAAGCCACCACGCCCGGCCTGAGGGCTTTTAATATTTGCTTTAAACCTTGGCACAGATCACTTCCTTCTCTAAGACTGAATGCAAAAAGCAAAATGGAATACTATAATAAGCTGTGACAGTATGGTAAATGCTGAGCATTCCCTATAATCAGAGAAGGAGGCCCAACTCCTGACATAGCCTTGGATGCAGAACTGACAGAACTTGGGGAAAGTGATGAAGTAGTTGAACTCACCTGTGAATCTGTAGAACCTGTAGGGATTGACCTAACTCACCATGACTCTGTTGTGATTATTGAACAAAGGAGGAGGCCAAGAGCAAACACAAGGTCACTCCAAGGCTAAACTGGCAGTTGTGCAGTAAACACTGATGAGAAGGGATTGATGAGGGACAGAGATGTATGTGTAACCAATTCAGTGCCCACCGTAGTTCCCTGCAAAAAAATTTTTTTTGGTAATACACAACCTGGTTATATTCAGTGTCAAGTTTGCATAGATGGATACTCAGAGATTGAACTTAGTAGACAGCACATATACTCTACAGAATGTGGCCACATCTGTAGTTGGTACCTCTGCACTTCCTTTAAATATACTAAAATGTGCCCAGCTAGTTTGAAAAAAATTGGCCTCCATCAATATCACTGCATTTATATATAAGGTGTGCCTTATTGCTCAAGACAGATGGATCCTGTGCCTGGATTTTTTTTCATGTCTTTGTGCAGGAACTATGGGTTGTTGGCATCCAATGCTCTGAGCTTAAAAAGATTGATTTTAAAAATTGCTATCTGCAGTACATAAAAAACTTTCATTTCTCATACTCTCTGAGACTGCTTTTTGTTTCCTTTGGTTTTATGCTTCAGGGAGGGACTTTGGTTGCCAGAGTGCCAGATAATGGGGTTGTCCTTAAAGCAATTTTCCCTTTCTTTTTTAAGAGCCATCAATTTTTAGTTAGCTACATGTGGGCATTTTGGACCACACAAAGACAACACCATAGAGATGGTGAAGCCAGTTGTAAACTAAAAATAAAATCCTAAGCTCCCTAATTGACTGAATGGAACACCTCCTGACCAAAGTGACCCCAGAAAAACCTTAAAACTGAGTTCCTGGCCATGACAGGGTCAGGGGGTCAGACATGCTTCATTATACCCCTCCTCTCTTTTATGGTTTAGACACAACTGACCAGCATTAATGTCAAAATAAAGGTTATAAGGCTGACAGAACAGACTCTTTGTGGCAATAACAAATTATTTGTAAGACCTAATGCCATGCCAGGCAAGTGCTATGTCATGCACTCCTACACTTAAAGAATAAACTATGTTCTCAGTGCCACAAATTTTTCTATTTATTTATTTATTGAGATGGAGTTCTGCCCAGCTGCTTTTTGTTTTTCATTAGCAGCTAAACAAGCACCAGCCTTGAGATAAGTAATATTAAAACAACTTGCAGCTCCACCAGTTGCTGACTAATGGCCCTCCATTCCCATTCCACCAGCCATAAAAGAGGCTGATTTCAGTAACTTTCTCTTGATAAAAAAACCATTGACTATGGGCTGGTTCTGGCCAGTTTACATGGGCTAAGCATTCTTGTGCCTTCCTGTCCTGAAAAGGCATTTTGACTTATAGGGCCTAACTGCAATGCATTTAAAAGTTAAGTCTCCACTTTAGGCTGGGCAAAGTGGCTCACGCCTGTAAATCCCAGCACTTTGGGAGGCTGAGGTGGGTGAATCACTTGAGGTCAGAAGTTTGAGACCAGCTTGATCAACATGACAAAACCACATCTCTACTAAAAATACAAAAATTGGCTGAGTGTGGTTGTGCATTCCTGTAATCCCAGCTACTTGGGAGGCTGAGGAAGGAAAATCGTTTGAACCCAGGAGGCAGAGGTTGCAGTGAGCTGAGGTGGCGCCACTGCACTCCTGCCTTTGTTTCAGAAAACAGCAACAAAAAACCACCTCAAAGCGGTTAAGTCTCTACCTCAAAATGAACATGGGTTGTATGTTACATGCATGTTTGTTCAATAAGCATGAGTCAGGATGACCTTCCAGATTATTCATAGCTTCTCCTGTAACCTGCTGAATATGTATGTTTAGTCAATATGTTAAGCATCAAGTTCCTATACCAATCTCTTCTCTTTTGAAGTGCCTGTCTCTGGTCTTTGCCAGAGATTGTGCTTCCTGGCCTGTGGGACAGCCACCTTGCAGGCCTTTAACTCTTTATAAGAAATAAAGTTTCCTCTCAAATTTGTGGATCTTGTGAGTTCTAAGTTAACAAAGTAGAAAGAAGGAATTTGGGAAACTGACAACTTTGCAAACTAGAGCCACTAGAGAAGTTTGGACTTAAGAGAGAAATCTCATTCTTGCTTAAGCAACCCTTATACTGGGTATAGTAGTCAGGTGGACATACAATTAACCATTACTCTGGGTCTCATTTACAGCAATGGAGTTTATTTATTTATTTTCTTTGGGACAAGGTCTTATTCTGTCAACCAGGCTGGAGTATAGGGGTGTGATCATGGCTTACTGCAGCCTCGACTTCCTGGGTGCAAATGATCCTCCCACCTCAGCCTCCTGAGTGAAAAATTAGCTAACATGCCTGGCTAATTTTTAAATTTTTTGTAGGGACAGGGTCTTGCCATCTTGCCCAGGCTGGTCTTGAACTCCTGGGCTCAAGTGATCCTTCTGCCTTGGCCTCCCAAAGTGCTGACATTACAGATGTGAGCCACCAGGCCTGAACACTGTCTTTAGATGGTGAAAAAAAGACTTGAAGCACTCTTTGTGAAGATCGAAACCTCTTGCTACATAGGATTTGGAATCATAGGCTTCTGGAGATGGAAGGGGTCTTAGGAATTCACATTTTAAAGAAGGAGGAATTGATACCCATAGGAGTTAAATGTCTTAGCTGAGGCTACTCAGTGCTCTGGTGAGAGACAATTCTTTCATTTTCTAGGCCAGTACCAGTACTCTTACCCCTAGGGTAAAGGTTCAAGAATGTGCAGGTGTCAGGCTTTAGTAAAGTCATCTATACTAAGCATTATCAAATGTTTTAGCTAACAACAAAAATAAGCAAGATGAAACAAAATTAATTTTTTTGACTAAGTGATCACCAGCATTTCATAGACATTTATTTGACAAAGGTTTTGATCCAACAAATGCCATGTACTGTAAAAGTGAGCAAGATACAGTACTACCTTGTGGTTGTTCACAACTTGGTGGAGGGGCAGACATGCAATCAAACAATTAGAATACACTCTGTTAAGGCCACATGTACAAAGATCTAGGGTGCTATATAGAAATGCGTAAAGCTGGGCCAGGCATGGTGTTGCTTACGCCTGTAATCGTAGTGCTTTGGGAGGCCAAGGTGTCAGGCATTTGAGATCAGTCTGGGCAACGTAGTGAGACCCTGTCAGAAAGAAAGAAAAGAAAGAAGAAAGAAAGGAAGGAAGAAGGAAGGAAGGAAAGAGAAAGAGAAAGGAAGAGAGAAAGAGTGAGAGAGAGCAAGTGAGAGAAAAAGACAAAGAGAATAAAGGAAGAAAGGAAGGAAGGAAGGAAGAAAGCTGTGTTTCTCAACTAGGGAGTGATTCCATCTCCTGCCCCCAGGAGACATTTGGCAACGTCTGGAGACATTTTGCTATGACTGGAGAGGGAGGGGGTGGCTACTGGCATCTAGTGTGTAAGCGCCGGGGATCCTGCCAAATATCCTAAAATTCACAGGACGGCTCCTGTGACTTAAAGACTTAGCAGTCCCAAAATATCAATAGGTCTGAGGTTGGAAACCTCTGGTATAGAGCCAACAAAATATTTTCTACAAGAGACAGGGAAGTGGGTAAAGCTTGGTCTGGGGATGAGGGGGTGGGTAGGGAAGAGTTTAGTAAAGAGATAATGACGCAGGTGTGGGGAAGGGAAACTCCCAGCCGAAGGGATAACATGTGCAAAGCCGCAGACGTGTGACATATTTGGACAATCCCAAACACCGGAGAAAGAACTGTGGTCATTAAGGCCAGGTAGCTAGGCAGGAGCTAGATGTTCAGTAAATCATATTAAGTTAGAGGAATTACTGTAAGAAAGATTTATAAACAGTGGTGACTCTTTATAAGTCACTCAGGAGCACAGTATTGGTATGTCTCTCTGTGAGCTAAAACAGCTGAAGAAAGCTGTATGAAGTGAAACTTTTCTCATCCTGCTTTCTCAGGGCCTGGTGTTTTCCACCCTGTGTTATTGTCTCAGAGATAAAGTCAAGGCTGCTTCACTGGAATATGAGGGGTGAACTACCTCTCTATTAAGCCACTCAGCTGCTGTCTTGATGCTCTGATGGGATCATGAGCGCGGGTGAGGTTGTTATTTTTCATGAGTTAGGCTTAATGTAGGCTGCTGCTGATGTTTATTTCCTCTTTCACAGAGCATCCCCAGTCCAGAAATGGGGAGCTATGAGCTGTAAGGTTAGATTACCAACTCGAATCTAAATGAGCTGCCCCCTTCCCCTCCAAAAGAAAAGTTGTGCAGGTAGGGTATTCTAATGGGGGCTTCTCTTTCTCTTAAGCAAATGATGATCAAAGCAACTGACAAACTGTCACGGAATCTGCCAGACCTCACTCTGGCCTTGCCACTTCTCTCCAGCTCCTGAACTTTTCTTCCTTTCGTCATGCTCTGAGCCCATTCCTTGAAAACTAACCGGTCCCTGACTCCTGGTCTGCAGTCATCCTGGGCCCACTGAGCTCTGATCCAAGTGCCTGCCTTTGCCCCCGGTGGCCTGAAGCTTCATGGAGGTGAGTGACCTTTTTTTAAAAAAAAAAAAAAAAAAATTCAGCCAGACTTCCAGGAAATGTGGAAAACGGGATCATAGAAGAGGGTATGGACATGGGAGCACAAAAGGAAATTCATGAAGGGAAGTATTTAACTTGTGACAGCTGGTAGCTACTATACTCTCTCTAGGCCTTTGAATAACTGACGATTTAGACTAGAGAAGCTGTAATGAAATCCACCAAAACATTTTGAGAAAAATTAAACCATACACTACACAAAATTTACCTTTGTTACCAATGTAATCATTTTGTTTATTTTAGATTTAAAAATTATTATGTATAACTTGTTTTGCTTACTATACCTTCATATTTGATATTTTATATTTAAGGCAGAGTTGATATTCAGATGTTAAATATTTTTAATTGAATTCCTCCCTTTAAGGCCTCTTCAGAGCTAAAATAAAGGAAGTTATATTCTTATGAACTTAGTGTTCTCCCGATTGTCAGACAGATAAAAGAAAATGCTTATTTACTACATGAAAGCTTGAAAAACTCACTAAAATTCATTGATAAGAAATGTTGACACAGGGGCCCTTGAATTCTGAGTTATCATCCATTTCCACCAGTTTCCACTTCTTATCAGGTTTAATTTCATTCTATGTATATTAATCATTAAGATCAGTTTCTAATTTCCTTTATCATAAGACCTTTAGGTTTGCTCTTATTCATCTCTGTCTTTAGCTATTGAAGCAAACAGGGCTATAAACATTTTGTTTATAATTTCTACAGGAAAAATAAACACTACTGCCTACACCTGCTATATTCTTATCACTTTAAGGCCGAGCCAATAAAAATAGACACTTTTCCATAATAGTAAAAAAATTGTTTGTGTGATAGTGAGCTTCCAATTACTTTAGATGTTTGGGCAGAGGCTGGAAAGGAGTGAATTAAATGGCTTAAAATTTCTTTCAACTCTGAGAAGCTCCAAGAACTCAGAAAGTTTAGAATCGTCCCTTCTTATGTGAAAACGTCATGACTCGTAAAGGAGGATCATGTCTTGCTCTTAGGTTTGAGCTGACTGTGCCATATAGTTTGTCTCTGTGCATGAATTATATTTTTCTACTCTCAAGGTTAATTCTTCATAAAATCTGTCCATCAAAGTTTAAAAAGTACTTTGAAGGAATAAAGGTTGAAAAGCAATAAACGAACTCTCCTTAGATATCTTAACCATGGTTTAAAAAATTTACAACGCAAAACTACTCAGGAAAAAAAAATCTCTGGTAAGAATTAAAGATTTCTTATGCAAGTGACCAAGGACTTCATAGCTCGAATCTTTGCCTTTTCTCTGCTCTTTGAGAATGTGCACAGTGAACAGGAGGAAAATGTACTTTCTTTCTGTTCTTTTCTTTTCTTTTCTTTTCTTTTCTCTTTTTCTTTTTTTGAGACAGAGTTTGGCTCTGTGGCCCAGGCAGGAATGCAGTGACACCATCTCAGCTCACTGTAACCTCTGCCTCCCAGGTTCAAGTGATTCTCATGTCTCAGCCTCTCGAATAGCTGGGACTATAGGCCCACGCCACCATGCCTGGCTAATTTTTGTATTTTTTTCTTTCTTCTTCTTTTTTTTTTTTTTCCTTCACAGAGGAAAACAATTTTTTTTTTGTATTTTTTTTAGTAGAGATGGGGTCTCACCATGTTGGCCAGGTTTGTCTCGAACTCCTGACCTCAGGTGATCCTTCTGCCTCGACCTCCCAAAGTGTTGAGATTACAGGCCTGAGCCATTGTGCCTGGTGGCCCATGTACTTTCTTATAAAGTGACTTCTGCCAGCCAGGGCTTTATAAGGATGAATATCAATTCCTGACTTGAGTTTTTCTCTCTCTGACTTAAGGTTAGACTTCCTTAAAAGGGCCTGGCAGTAGATGCGTTTCCTAAAAGTTTCCAGGTCCAGAAATTTTAGAATCTCCTTTGGTTTCCAATTCTTTAGCTCCCTCTAGAGCAGTAGAAAGTTATTGCAGATATTTTGATCACAAATTTGATCCATTTAATAAATTAAATTCCACAAAACATATTGATGGGCTCTCTGCTGACTCAATGGTTAATAGGCTTTGGGGTCAAATAAAGAATTCAAATCTGGGACCCACAACTTAATTATGACTCTGGAAAGATACTTTAAACAATCTAAACTTCAGTTTCCTTAAAAAATTCGGTAATAATACCTATCCCATTGGGTTGTTATGAGATTAAATGAGATAATGTATGTAAAGCCTCTTCCACAGTGAATTCTCAGTAAATATTAGCTAATATAATTAATCCCTTGTTTTACAGAAAAGGTTATATTATTGAAAGTCAGGGCAATTGGCAAACCCTCAGCTAGCAAGGTGAATTAACCATAAAAAAATCAATCATATAATATAAATAATAACATTAAACATATTTCCATATCATAAAATTCACCCTTACGAAGTACATAATTCAGTGGTTTGTAGCATATTCACAAAGTTGTACAATTATCACCACTACCTAATTCCAGAACATTTTCATTACCCCCAAAAGAAATTCCATACCCATTATCAGTCACTTTCCATTCCTCTTTGCCCCGCCTTGGTGACCAAAGTATTGAGATTGTTAGAAGGTCGTTTTTAAGTACATGTGCACTACCCTAGCAGACTTGTCTATTGTCAATAAAGTGATAGTATTTGTGAAATTATTATTCCTATTCAGACATCTATTTCTTAAATCTCCTGGGAATTTGTGGCATAACAAAGCATATCCGAAGTTCTAAAATATAAATTTTAAAGCACATATATATATATACTTTAAAAACACATTGAATAAAATTCCTAAGAGATATTCACCTTCAAAAGACACTACATTCACTAGGATTACAAACTGACTCTGGTAGGTACTCCTTCTCCTAGATTACCTTCAAGTGGCCAGGTTCTTCTACAAGTTTTATCTTATTCACAGTGTATCTCTTTTTAATGTTTTCAAGACAGACCTGACTGGCTTAACATGCAGTCTTTTTTTCCGGATGTGTCTATTCCCTGAAAGGCATATTTTTCTGGGTTTGGTCTTCTTTTAAAAACAGAGATGGGATCTTGGTCTGTTGCCCAGGTTTGTCTCAAACTCCTGGCCTCAAGCAATCCTCCTGACTCAGCCTTTCAAAGTAGTAGGATTATAGGTATGAGCCACCGTGCCCTGTCCTAGATTTGGTCTTCTAAGCACATATTGAGGGGGTGGAGAATAAACAGATAGCTTTCTCTTCCCTTCCACAGAATTGCCTACTCAGCCTAGTACGAAGAACGAAGTCATCTTCTTTTTAAAGCTTTTGTTGTCTTTTGGTTAATGTAATCTTTAATAAATTATTAATATATAAAGAATGGTGAATTAAAAATTTTCATCATACAATAAAACCATGGGAAATAAGACTAGAAATATGACTTTTCAACATACTGTAGAGAGTTCTAAATTCTGAGGCCCTTTAAAAAAAAAACCTAAAAAACTGATTTTGGTAGGCTATGGAAAACACCAGAAGATTTTGGAGGCAGAGGGGGGTTGGCAATTATTATTAATAATTAGACTTTGCAAGAGATTAGATGATAGGGAAGAAATAATTGAATAAAATATCTAAAGATAACTCAAATTTCAAAATTTGGAGATTGATGGTACAATAAATACAAATAGGGAAGTCAAGAGATGGAACTGATTTAGGGAGAAATATGAATTCTGTTTCAGTCAGGTTGATTTTCAAGGACCCAGCTGTGGGCTCAGAGATTTGGGAGTTATCTTTATTTACTGTATATAAAGGTATGGGAATGAATGGCTCACTTGGTTGTAAGAAAGTAGTCAGAGGCAGAAGAACTAGAACAGTATCACATCACAAGGACCAAAGGAAATGTCAAATAAGTCAAGGAAGACAGAGATCGACAGTGTCATTAAAGAGGGTTTGGCAAACTACCTCAGCATCCTAAGAAAAAAATTTAAACAGAGTGCTAGGGTAGAGGATCCATTACAAGAGCAGAAATTCAGATAAGTTACCTTAAGTGAAGAGGTAACTTCACTTGCTTTGAGGATGTACATTTGTTGAGCAAGGCATCTGCTAGGCACAGAAATCCAGGAAGAACCGAAAGATAGTGCTGTGGTTAGCATAATACAGCCATTCTCCATATTTGTTTCTCTCTATAATTCTTGTCTCTACCAACTAACGGACTCTCTCTGCATCTCTGCATTTCTTCTGACTTCTGTTTAAAATTCATCTCCTTTATTCTGTTTTCTCTTTCAAGTTCCAGGCTCTACCTCATGGCAGTCTTTAAGCTTTTGCTCTTAACTTTCAACTTCTGGATTCTCCCTTTGTTTAAAGATTCAAATTCATGAGGGGTTCTGGTTTGCCAGATCACCTTTTTGTATTAGGTCATATCTTGGATTGCTGGACAGCGTATAAAATGAGTCTGAAGCCCATCTGTGGCCTAGGAGAGGGAATGGAGGCCATATGGTGTGTGGAGTCCTGACCTTTACAGTGGACTGTGGAAATGACAGCTACTGTGATTAAGACATTTATCAGGTATTAGGAATCAATCTTAGTTTAAAATTCAAGTGTACAAAGACTAGCACATCATAGTATTTTCTATAATAGCCCTAAATACTGATTTTGCATTCCCATTCCTGTGGGCCGGAGGTAAATTTAATTTGCTATTTTTCAGGAAAGCCATCCACACTGATTAATGCTGAAAGTCCATTACCCAATCTGGTCAAGTTGATATATTCACAACATTTTGAAATATTCTGCCTGCCCCCAAAACACACCCACACACACCCACACACCTTTCTTTAAATATATGGAAACATTAAATAAAGTGTCAAAAAGAATTTAAGTGTTAGTTTTTAAATGATGGATTAAAAATTGATTTTCTCCTTTCTCTTAGAAACTCATCCTTCCTTAAGTCAAAACCAGAAGGGGAATGAAAAATAGACAATTTGCAATGAAACCAGAGACATCAAATAGCTTGAACTACAATCTATGAGGAAGCACTGCCAAATATAGTGAAAGTCAAGCAGGAATGTGAGAGAGGATGCTTAGGGATGCAGACCTTACATGAGGGACATGGTACTTTTCCAAAGAAAGTACCCCATCCTGTTGGCCGTGACCCACAAGCCCTGGTACAGAACAATGAGAACAGGCAAGCAAGCTTAAGCTGGAGCTTTCCTGTACCCATTTGTTACACAGATTTGGGATATAGGAAAGGTGAAGCTGAACAAGGACAAATATACGTATTTGTAGAAAGCAGTCTGTTGTGGAGGTAGAATGAAGGAGAGAGACTCTGCATTGCAAGCAACCCTGCAGTGTTGATCATGGGGAAAAAAGAACCCATGCATAGGTTGTTTTCTAAAGAAAACAGCCTCGGCCGGGCGCGGTGGCTCAAGCCTGTAATCCCAGCACTTTGGGAGGCAGAGGCGGGTGGATCACGAGGTCAAGAGATCGAGACCATCCTGGTCAACATGGTGAAACCCCGTCTCTA